TTGAAAGTATGTCTCATAACTCATAGTATTTAAGGCAGTTTTTTTTTGTCCTCCAGATTGAAAAATATGTATAATTATCAAAAGAGGCACCACTATTTCTGGTGCATCTCTGTGAATAAATATCAATTAATTCACACATCATGAAATGATAATGAAATATTACAACTTCATCTGTGATAACAGTGTAACTTTTCATGCCAGTTCACTTGCAATCATCCTCTCTAGATTGATAATTATATGCCTCAAGCTGTACTTAATAGAAAAGATTGAACCATTTGTTCTTTTGTATATTTTGTCAGAATAAGCTTGTATGAAATATCTCTGTACTTGTTCACACAGGACAAAATTCAGCACTCTAACCTACTGCGTCGTTTATTTAGCATAAATGGAAAATATCTTACTTCTATGTTAAAAGCACTCTTGGAGAACACGGGTCTTCTATCTGCACACTGGACTGTTCTTGTGAATCTCTGAGTTATTATGCTGCAATTATGTCATGACACGGATGCCTGCACACTGTGGCAAGTCTACTAATGAAATAGAAGCATACACAGATATTACAGGTGTCCTCAATTTTTACTCATGAACTGGTGTCATTGACTCTACAGTGTCCCACAGCATGGATTTTAAAACATTTTTTTTTCCTAAAAAAAGACCATCCAAACAAACACAGAAGCAAAATACTTGTGCGCAGGATATATTTTATTTGTAGTGTCTTTTTAACAATGAGTAAAACCTAAATGCCTTGGTCATTTTATATTCCACATAACTGCAGCCTTGTTTGTCAGTGCCTTCACTCTGAAGGTGTACTGTCTGGGTTTTATGTCTCAAACTTTAACGGCAGCAATGGGACTCTGAGTTTAGGTGCATCTTTCTATGTGGAGACTTCTATAGAAATTGTGTTACTCATATTATGTGCAGTGACAGAACAGTACTGAGGTTGGACCCTGAAGTACAGCTGGGTAGGAGGAATGGAGGAGGCACTGGCAAAATCCTGTTGCCCTGATTACACAAAAGGCACAAGAGAACATATGTATATTTTTTCCCACTCACACCATACTGTTATATTTAGTTGAGACCACTTCAGTGAATATGCATGTTATTTGGTAGTCTCCCTGCTGAAAGAATCTATTCTGAGGGATGGACTTGATAGCAGAGAGAAGGATTTAAGGATTATTTTCTCATGTATCTACTTTTATGAGACTGCAGAAAAAATGTGAAATTCTTAACAAAACAGAGATATCCTTCAAGTATTTTGTTTTGGTAAGAAAATCTTATAAAGTCAGATGATTCAGAAAGCTTCCAAAATATCTGTTGTTTCAATCTCAGTGGAAATGTGTAAGAAGATCAAGGTTCTTGTACAGGTAACAATCTTTACAGGAGAGTGAGCTGTCACATCAGCCTTCTTACAATGGAAATTCACGCATTTATGGCTCATAACATAATTTTCCCTGCACCTGAAGTGCTCTCAGCAGGTATAAATGCATATTCAATAGCTCACGTTGATCAATATTAGCCAGCTTGTGCAATATGAAAGTGATGTATGCATATTTCCTAAACAAAGCAAAATGCAGAGGAGTGGAAGGCTTATGTGCATGGTTTACAGAATTTTATCTTCACTTACGAGAAAAGTATTGTTAAGCCAATCATGTCAAGAATGACTGAAAATAGTTGTCGTCTTTTAAGGATCTGGCATCCCATACAGAAGAAAGCTGTGATCTTTATCCATTTCCTCAACATTTCCCATTATAGCTGGCCCCAAGCAGATTATCTGATTGGGTTTCAGTTACCTTGACCTAAGTATGGTGGAGGTCAGTATTAACCCACTTGTAGGCGGTTGCCCATTTGTGCTATGCCCACAGCATCAGGAAGAGGTGTAAGAACCTTTATAGTTCCCTATTCCTGCTGCCTTGGCATTGTGAGCAGGCAGTATCACTCTCCAGCCCAACTTCTGCATGAGCTCTACTAGCACTGAAAAGAGGGGCAACAATATTAAATATAATTGCTGAGATATGTGCAAAGAGAATCTGTGCAACCTTTTAGCTGGCAACTCTAAAGGAAAGGGAAAGAAAACCCAATCTTGTGGCAGCAGCAGACCTCTTTGAAAGCCTTTTTTTACTTTTACCTGCTGATTTTGAGCAAAATAATTTTATTCTGAGCAGGCTGTTCCTGGAAATGGCCTCATAATTGCTAACTTTATCTTCTGCTGCCAGTGTCTATTTAATCACCTCGTTGCGTTCACAGCCCACACACTGACGCAAAATCTCCTCCTGTTCTGATTCCTTACCTATTAGAGTCCGGGCCCAAATAATGGGCTCTCTAATGCTGAATGAGCAAACACTGAGTCAATGTGAAAGCCAACCAGGCATAACTTGCTGCAGAGAGGGTTTCTGTGAATATTCCCCTTTGCATCTCAAATACAGCCTAACATTATGGCATGAAGGATGCTGGAATTCAATAGATGCTGAGCATTTTCTAAAAAGAGATACTTTCGCTGTTTAAGCTGTTGTACTGATACATCAACAATGCAAATGAAACTAAATTTAGATAAGGAGAAAAGAATCAGAATGAAATATCAGTTTATGGCTTTCACTGCAGAGGTGCTGAACACCAGCAAATCTGTGCTGCAATACACAGAGACTGCTGGAAATTCACTGTATTACAAGTGTTTAGTTGCAAGGTGAGGGTTGCTGAAACCTGAGTTAGGTTCTGGCATATCCACTTAAGCCAGCTCTAGGCCAGTTCTGGATAGGGTGTGCAAACAGCTTCAGGCAGCTGGAGAATTTCTAGTTAGAAAGTAATGCATCCCCAGGTGGATGGAAAAAAGTTGAACAACTACATTTTCCAATAGTTCTGTGATCGTTTGGCACTCAGGTGCCAGAATTCCATCTAAAGTCCATTTTGGGTACCTAAACCCTTGCATAGCTTGGGCTTCAAAGCTTAATTTTAGGCACCTAGGAATTTTGGCATAAAGCCAGAATTTCAATGCTGCGGAGGAATTTCTGCACTAATCCAAGAGATAAGGCAGCGATATGCACCCTGGAATTCACAGGGACATGCCCTTTGCCAGCACGTGGCTCTCTGGGAAGACACGCATTGCTCAGGCCCTATGGGAACAAGCACGGGGCCAGCCACCTTTCTGGGACTTGGGAACTATGTGGGAGTTTGGCAGAATGGGAGCTCAGTGTTACAGCTGCCAGGAAAACAGATCAGTAGAAATCATTTTGGTACGCATCTGTGCAAAACCGAGGCGATGCAGAGGGAAATCAGGCTGTTGTGTTTACCACATGTGTACTTTCACTGTGTATGAACAAGCTGCGTTCCATTGTCTTGCTTCAGAATGTGTTATTTCCCCAGGAAGAGGATAAATACTATATTTCCATGCAGGGAAGCAATAGTTTGCTGGATTGGTAGGGACGGCTGGCATGTGTCTGTTGTGGCAGCTTCCTTCTGTGCCGATGTCAGGATGCAGCACAATGCTGGCTGCTGGAGTAAAACAGAATTTTAATGAACAAGCTGCAGGGAAGAAATAAAACAAATTTGTCTCTATCCAAATGATCAGCCACCAAACATACACATAAAATTCAGATATGGCAGAATAGCGTGTAAGCATCTGTGATCAGTTTGGGTTTTTCTTTTGACTTTCTCATATAAAATCTTTCCTGGTGCATCTGTGTGAATACAAATTTACCTTGAAACAATGCCTAAATCCCAGCCCATTAGTAACCAGCTTAGTACTGCTGCTAGCACTGTCTGTTGCTGTTGCACACCTTACTTTTTTTTTTTTTTTTGTAGTTACTTTAAAAAGTGTGTTTTATCAACTTACAAACAATCAACTTATCTGGTGCAATGCACCCTTGCCTGAAATTCAGGCTGCATTTGCAGGCAATGTAGTACAATGCAGTCTCCTCTTTTCTCTCAGAAAAGCAGCTCATGGTTTCCTTGGAGAAGGCAGCAGAGCCTGAGGTTGTGTTCTCTTTCTGCACAGGGCACAGGTCCTGTGGGAGCACCTTGGGAAGCTTCATCTACAGACCCATGGTGGGAGGTCAGCTCCCAATGACATTAAATCAAGCAATGAAATTTTAAAATGAAGCATTGGATTTTTTATTTTGTTTTTATAATTACTAATGTTATAGCAATATACAACAGGAGTTGGGGGCACGGTGCTGTACAGCCAGCACTGCCTTATACTCACTGAAGCAGTAGGGCCATGGAGACCATGCCTGGGGCAGCTTAGAGCCACAGTGGTGACAGAGCAAGTTAGAGAGTGGAAAAGCTCAAACACTGAGCTTTAGTGCTTCCTTCTACTGCTTTGATGTTAGGAATTCAAAAGCCCAATGAGACCTATGCAAAATGGGAACAAAGCTAAGCTGAAGTGGGAGGATGGGGGCAAAGTTGTCACAGACTGAGAATGAGTAGCATTACACTGCAGGGCTATTGACCCACAAAAAAGTAAATGTGTGTAGGTAATTTGCAGTTTTTCCCTAAGCAGTGACAACAGACCTCACAAAATGAAGCCCAGCCAGGAAGCCAAAGTACAGGGGAGAAAAAGGGAAACCTGCTGCATTTTTCATGTTGACAGTGGGCTTGTTAGTTTGCTCTGATTTCAACAGATTTCATAAAACTTTCTGGGAACCAAGCACTGAACTACTACTTCTGCCTTTCAAAATTGGAACTGCAGCCTTAGAAAAGTATGTAACTAACAGCTCATTTGTCCTTTAGGATAAAGTTCCTGTCTCCACCTGAGGCCTTTTCTTGGGAGCACCTATCTCAGCCCATCCAATCTCATGACTTTGATTTCCTGCAGCCTGTATATACTTTCCTAGGAACACTCAAAGGCAATGGGAATGTATTGACATTTTGATAAGAAAAGCACAGAGGTATAACATGCCCTACACAGCAATGTGCAGTCATCAGAACACCTGGCATGGAGGCCAAGCTGCTTTCTGCAGGGGTGACTCATTTTTCGTTCCACTAGCACACAAAGGGGAAACGGAATATCTGACCCAGAGTTTATTGATGAACCACAGAAGAACCTCCCCACTGTATTTGGCTTTGCCATGGATTTTGGCAGTAATTTAGCCTCTAACATTTTCTCCCTTGAAGAAACTCTGACTGCTATTAGTCTAGGTGACAGATTCTTCTCTTTGCTTTCTAAACTGTAATTCTTCTTCAAATTGAGTTGTCTGTAAGATAACTAAGTTAACACCAAGCTCTAGGGTGGCATTTTCTTTTTTAGTGTGCAATCTTGTAATGAAAATATCTTGCAGCAACTTCTCCCTCCTGTCTTCAACTCCTGTGCAGGCTCTGCAACATCTCTATAAAATGTGGTGGGCTTGGACTCTACCCTTTGGCCTTACATGCTCTCTCATATTCCAGTATGTTCCTAACATTTCTTTGTTTTATGTAGTATGTGCAAGTAGATGGATAGACAGGAGCACATCAAAGTCTCAGCCAGGAATGAGCCTCATTGCTCCCAGCAGATGTTTACTTCAATGGATGGGTCTCTCAGAACAACTGTAGCTCAATTTTGTGATGCAGCAGGACATGTTGCATGAGCTGGTCTTAGAGCAGGGGAGGTTGAAATCTCTTCACATGCCTTTACTTCTTCCTGTAAATTTGCACATGGAAAGCACAGTTTCAGGTAAGGCAAGATCCAGCAAGAGATGATAATAACCTACAAAGAGAAAAGGGAAAATGGTTTTCTTGGCTGCATAGGCTAGTAAATGGATGTGGTCCAAAGCTCAGTAGGAGCCTGGTATTACCAATGGTCTTTATATGAGGGCCTAACTTATCTGCCCCTCTTTTTTTTCAAGTGATGATTGATCCGTGTTCTTCATAGTGGATGATTCTGCCTCAGGACAGGGCATTTTATTAAAGGTTTGGCCAAGACAACTCTGTTTCTTGCACGATTCATCTCCTCGAAGACTTTTGATGTATCTTGGTCTAAACTTCAGCTGAGTGTATTTTGCCCAATGTTTGGAGAACACAAAAGGGTTGCACACGCACCCACCAAGATTTAGACTCCATGACAGCAAAAAGAAAGTAAACAGGAAGAAATAAACAAGGAACAACAAAGCCTGGTGTTTTGTATCTCTTAAAAGCACCAAATTCCAATGTACCCTCTCTGTTGTTCATATCTTGCTGTGCTATCTCTAACGTAGTTTATAAACTCCTCAGTGCAGACACCTCCTTGCTTTATTTGCACTCATAAGATGTTCTTTGAATAAATTGCTGACAACTAGAACAATAACGATATTGTGCAACTGTGGTATTTACCACTGCTAAAGTAGACAATAGGGAGTTCCTCAAACCAGAGCAAAGTAGTAGGAAGAGTCTTACAAGTGCAGCACAATTAAAAGCTGTTAATATCATTAATTATTATTAGCACTTGTATTTCTGAGCAGAAGGAGCTACAGGCAGATTCATATCCCAGTGTTACACAGTACTCTTTCAAATGCATAATAAAATCATTCCTGCCTGGAAAAAGAGTATATTGAAATGTTCTACTCTTATGGAGTGTTTACAGATGAGGAACAAATGTACCTCTGAAGAGCAGCTTGCAGGACATCTAGACAATGTAGACAGAGGAAGAATAACTATTCCTGTTATACAGAGGAACAGAGAGTTTTACACCAGCTTGCGAAGAAAACCTGCAGCAGAGCAGTGAATCCAAATCTCCTGATGCCTAGTTCTCTACTTCACTACATGGCTGTCCTTAAGTTACTGCTTAATACTATCAAGCATTTCCAAAAATTTCCTCACTAATGAATCATACAGTCATTCAAAACTGAGCAATCTAAATTTAATTCTCTTGAACTGATTTCGGTTTCAATTTCCTAAAAGTTTAAGATATAAAACATAATACTGTGTCTACAGGGAGAATAAAAGAGAAGTCTTAAAGATAAAATTAATGAGACAAAGATAGAAAAGGGTAGTACGAACTTTCTAACCACCATCTTAATAAAGGGTAATGTTCTGTCTGTTTCAGTTGGTACACTGAAAACTGTACCAAAATTCTTTAATATATCAAATATTGTGTGACTGCAGGGCGTACGTGACTCTTCAGGTGACAACTGTCCTTGGCATTTGGGAACTCTTGTCCAGAACCATTTCAGTTATCATACATGCTTTTATTTTATATAACTCTTCACATGTAAAATTCCTTCCACTTACATTTTGTTTTTCTGAACCCTAATATTTGGCTCTGATAAACTTCAAGAATATAATCTAATAAAAAAAAAATCTTGAAAAAGAATCAACTATTTTTTAAACCATATAAAGTACAGATATATGACAACATTCACATTTTGTACAAGTCAGTAAAAGAAAATTAACTCCGCAATTAATTTCTTCCCCTCTAATCTAAGCACAGTGGGGCAACACTAAAACCAAAATCTGAATAGGTCAATATTTTACCATTATCTGATAAGGCTGAAACTGCCAAAATAGTACTAAGGCCCATACATTCCAAAGCTCCTCTGGCAGAAGATGGTATAGGCAGAGATGGCCTGTACCAGCTCAAGCTTTTGACACAAAAGATTACTAATTAAATCTCACGTGGCTGCCAGAATACAAGTATTTGGTATTAGTATACTTTTAAATATCACATATGATAGAATAATAATGATTTTTTCACATTGTAAGTCAAGTACTCCAAAGGCAGTAAGTGCTAATGTAAATATACATGGTTCACTCCAAAAGTAATGCCTTCTATTTGTTTCCATGGAAGCTACAACAGACTCAAATAACCCAATAACACTGTTTGATAGAGCAACTTCTCAGCCACAAAACACTAGTTTTCAACATAGTCAGCACAATTAGCCAGTTTGTGTGGATGAGGTAAGACCGTGGTACATGAAGACAGAGGGTAGAAAGACACTACAAAGGAACCTGGATAGACTGGACTGATGGGTCAAGGCAAACTGTATGAGTTTCTATAGGGTCAAGTGCTGGATCCTGCTTTTTGGTCACCCCAGGAAACCCTACAGGCTTGGGGAAGAGTGGCTGGAAAGCTGCCTGACAGAAAGGAACCTTGGTGTACTGATGGACAGTCAGCTGAATGTGAGCCAGCAGTGTGCACAAGTGTCCAAGAAGGCCAATGGTATCCTGGCTTGTATCAGGAATGGTGTGGTGAGCAAGACTAGGGAAGTAGTGCTGCCCCTGTAGTCAGCACTGGTGACGCCTCACCTCGAGTACTGTGTTCAGTTCTGGGCACTTCAGTACAGAAAGGACATGTGCCCTGTGAGGAGAGACTGAAGGAACTGGGGCTGTTCAGTCTGGAGTAAAGGAGGCTAAGGGGAGATGTTATTGCTCTCTTCAAATACCTGAAAGGGGATTGCAGTAAGAGGGCGGTTGTCCTCTTCTCACTGGTGACAGGTGACAAGACAGGGGGGAAACGGCCTCAAGTTGCACCAGGATAAGGTTAGTTTGGATATTGGGAAAAACTTCTTTACAGAAAAGGTTGTTAAGCACTGGAATAGGCTTCCCAGGGAGGTGGTTTGAGGCTTGTTAGTTAGAGTAGTATGGTTAGGCTGTGGTTGAACTTGATGATCTTGAAGGTCTTTTCCAACCTGAACAATTCTATGATTTTATGATTCTAAGACATTCTTCATTTTGTGGTGTGACAGATGTGCATGTGTCTGGAACGTGGCTTGACTTTCTGTCACCACTGCTGGAACACACCAACCACCACTTGCCTGTGCTGACATCCACCATTTGGTCTCCATAAACATTCAGCAAGTGTTGATGAATGTCAGTGGGTATCATTTTTTCTGCATGGAGAAATTCAATGGCACATCTTTCCTTCATCTGCACTTCCACATCGGAAGCCATTTTGTCAGACTGCCCCTCTGCTGCCATCTGTCACATAGCAACAAAATGTAATGGAATGTTGGCAGGAGGATTCACCCTCTGCTGCCACACCATCAGCATTCATCTCTGACATCATGGGCCATATAATAAAAGAGGAAGCATTACTATCAGAGCAGCCTTGCATCTCCTCAGATGCAAATTAATTCCTTATTTTGAATAAGACATTAAAATTAGAAAGGTTTGTTCCATTGGTGAGGTAAGAAAGACCTTTTTCACACTGCTCATTTTCCTCTTCAAATTCAGACACTAAAGAAGTTTTCTACCTCTAGCTTTAATATATTTATTCATCTCATGATGGAAACTCTGAAGTTTGCTCACTTTGCTGCTTGCTCCACACTACCCAGTGTAGGGTATGAGTGAATTTATTTCTTCAGCACTGTCTTTGCAAACTCATGAATTCTGGAGTGCCAGCTTTCTTCTTGCTACATTCCCATTGGCATTACACTCATCAGAGGTCTACACACAGTACAAAAGCAAACTGTGAAATTCATCCAACTCAGTGTCAATGTCTGCTATGCAGTGGTCCACATCTAAGTCCCTTTACAGCCATCTTACTGGAGAGAAACAGGAACTTTTACATAACAGTGCTTCAGCAGGTAAAATAGATCAGATGAATCACTATTTGAAAGTGCCACACAACATAATTTGATGACTAGGTGACTTGTTCAGTTACTGGCGTCCATATTGTAGATATTTACATTTAAATGAGATAAAACTCACTCCCTGAGCCTGTTTAAGGTATTTACACTCCTAATCAGCTGTTGTCATGCTACAGCATAGGACAACTGTTGATGTCCACTAGCATGCTTTGCATTTAAGCACCCACAAGTTTCCTTAAGAAGCTTTTCAATGAATTGTCATCATCCCACATCTCTTCCACGCCCACAATTTAAGCAGATTAATCCAATTTTTCTTTAAAAAACACAGATAACAACTTATTTCCTAAGAGATTAAATCTTTCTGAAGACCTACAAGCAAATGGTTTAGCTTTCTGGTTCTTGGATGGCACCGACGGGATCAGTCCTGCTTATGAAGCTGGGGTTCTTCTGTGGAAGAAATGAAAGATTTTTGGGCACAGATAATAAGCAGAAAGCCACTAGTTCTGTCACCACCAAGGTTACACAACAGCTAACAGTGATTAGAAATGTAAAAGCATGTCTATGTCTCTTTTCTTCCCTAGATGAGCTTTGTGACCCCCATTGGGTGATGCCTGCCATGTCAAATTTCAGCTCGAACAGCTGAAGCTTGGCAGAGAGTAAGCAGCAGAAAGTGGGATTTCTTCAGGGCATTAGCTGGAAAACATTAATAATAGACACTACTACCAGCTCTTTTCTAGTTGCTCCTTACTGACAAGGATTTATTTCTGGTCTTTCCTATGCTAATTTAAAAAAAAGAGATTCCTCTTAATCCTCACTGATTTTCTTGTATTAGATCAGGGTAGTTAAGTTGAAATCTCACTAACAGCGTTTTTTTCATTAAAAGAGATCATTTCCTTCCATAACTTGCAGAGTTATATTCTTACCTATGGAACCTATGGAGAATCACAGACAGACTTGATCCTTGTAATCATAAAGGTGAAATTCCCAAGTTCGTTCTTTCCTGTTCAGGCCCTGAGCAGGTGAACAGTCCTGAGACTTTCCAGCAGGATCTAAATAGTGCAGAAGGCTTGGGCTATCTTATTTTAACTGTGTACTTTTCTTCTTATGGACCTAGGACTGATCGGTTTTTAATTCTTGGAGGCTGGCAAACAAACAGACCAGTGCCCTGTTCATCCTCTGACTTTCAGCAATACAATACCTCCAA